CCGCACGACCGTCGAATTTCTTTGCTAGTGTATGTTCGTCACACGGGGCCTAGTAAACTGGGCGGCGCCACCTACATGTTCTGCACTAGGCGAGTGCCGAGGAGGCGGAGTCGGCGGAGCATGCGTTGTTTTTTGTTGCCTCTTTTTTTGCGTCCGTTGTTGAATCGTCACCTTTTTTCACACCTCAAACCTGAGAATGCTCTTGTATTTGGAACTTTGGATGGTTTAGAAGAAAAAAAAAATGCGTTGGGCTTCTTAGGCTAAAATAAATTAGTGCGGATAGATGGGCATCTCTGGTGGATGTTGTTACGTTGTCAAGTGGTTATGTTTTCATTTTATTTTCCTCCATTTATTCATTTTATTTTCCTTTCTATTTAGTTTCTTTTCCATTTTAGTTTATCTATTATTATTATTATTATTATTATTATTATTATTATTATTATTATTATTATTATGCATCGTAATTTCATGCTATACTTTTAAGCTTTTTGAGTTGGTGAATTTTCTTTTTTATGAACAACATATGCTTTTTTTTTTTTTTTTAGTTTAGTTTTGTATCTATTCGCTTGAACTCCTGAAATAATGTTATTTTGTTATTCACACATAGTATTTATGAGATGCTCCATGGTGTATTTTACTTTGTTCCCACAGTATCCATGAGATATTCCATGTTGTATTTTAGATTGTTCCCATACTATGCATGAGATGTCCCATGGTGTGTTTGTGATTGTTCCCATATTATCTATGAGACATTCAATGATGTATTTTCGATTGCTCCCCTAGTATTAACAGATGTCCCATTGTGTGCTTTGAATTGTTTCTATATTATTATCCAAGATTCGATTGTGTATTCCTTATTGTTCTCATGCACACTATTCCAAGATGATCCATAGCCTTTGTATCATTCCCATATTATTGATAAGATATTTCATGGTGTACTTCTTATTGTTCTTGTAGTGTTCCATGAAACGTTCCATGATGTCATTTTTTTATTGTTTGCATAGTATTCATTAGATGTTTCATGTTTTCTTGAGATGCTTGTTGCATTATAGATTTTTTTTTTCAAAAGTATTCATGCTCCTAGCGAATTTTGCAATGTTTCTATAGTACCCATGAGATGTTCCATGGTGTATTTTGAGTTATTCACGTAGTATCCATGGGATGTTCCATAAGTATCTTTGATTGTTTCACACAATACCCATGAAATGTCCTATGTTGTATTTCCGGTTGTTCGTAGAATATTCATGGAGTGTTCGACAATATGTTTAACTGTTCCCACAATACTCATGAGATGTTCACTTATTTCTACTAAACACAAATGCTAGGGAATATCATTCACCTTAACCTACTATTTTATTCTCTTAAATTTAGAACATCAATCTCTAGAACCTAGAACATTTTTCTTGAGAAGGTAGATCATTTTTCCCCGAAGAACATTATGCCTGCTCAATAGAAAGAAAGTGTTATGTTTTCATGAGAAAGAATGTTTTTCAACAAAATCTTATCTAAATATACCCCATCATATTGTTTTGAAAGATTTATTGTAAAAAATACAACGGTGAAATCAGAATTTAATTTTGATGTTTAGTTTGAAAACTATTACTTTTAGCTTCATAAAAAACCCTAACATCAACAAATTTGTTTTTTACATCATCACTTGTCAATCCAATGAGGAGCAACAAAGAGTCGGTTTGGCAGAACACCCAAAAATAGCTTTTGGACTGAATCCATGAGGAGCTCCGTTAAATACTTTTAACAAAGAAGTGATTATATGTTGATTCTGTTTACTTATCTAAAATAAATTAGGAGTTGGAAACTGGAAAAAAGTACCTTCTATTTACTCCACGCAGAGAATAATTTTTTACGTAGAGTTCGTTCCAAAGAATCATTTCTTATAGAGAATTAGGAGCCAAACAATCTCTACCAAATGGGCCCCAAGATGCTAGGGTGGTCACACACTATCAACCCTGAGATGGATGCGATGGGCCGCTTCACTAGACCTTTTTTGTTATTATTTGGGACCACTTTTATACAATTCTTATTTTTTCATTAGGGTGAGTATGGTACCGACTCCAGCTAAAACAACTCTGGCTCTAACATCTTTGGTAGAGTAGCTTTGTTTTGCTCCGGACAGCTAAACATTTGGTAAAATAGCTTTTACTGATAGATAAAATTATGAAATATCCATAATACCCTTCTCTTTTTCTTCCTTTATTTATTTTTTCTCTTCTCTTATCTCATTTATGTCCTTCCCTCTTTCCCTTATCCCATTCACCACCGCGCCAGTCGCCCTCCCCTCCTACTCCACCTCCAATCGCCGCCCCTCCCCTCCATCGTGACGTGTCCTCGGCTGCAGCTCCTCGGCCGCAACTCCTCTGTCACCCCTCCCTCATGTGAAGCTCCTCTGCCGTCGTCCTTGCCGCTGGCGCATGAAGGAGGATAACAGCATTGGGCCCAAGGGCATCAGTGTCCAATCGAGCATCCTACGGAGGAGCCAATGCAAGCTTAATTTTTTAGCTCTAGCTCCCTGCATTTCAGAGGAGCTTCAATCGAGCTCCTTGCGGGAGGAGCCAAAACTCCATCGTGGAGCAGCTCCACAAAAAACTGGAGTTTGTGGAGTACCTCTTTAGCTCTCTGCAACTCCACCTTTTTTCTCAGAGTGTGACTTGAAACCGCTTGGCTAAAAACGGAGCTATTTGTCGTGCCCCCCAAACACGCCCTTAGTAGCATATCATATGTGGTGCTGCTCTGAGAACTGTTAAAAAAACACTACCAAACGCGCCCTTACTTTTACCTTTTTTTCCCCTCTCCCTTGAAACTTCAACTTGACTCTTAATAATCTGGGAATCCTCACGGCTTAAGCTCGACAGGTGACTGAAGCGGCAGGAAACTTTACATGCTGCGCTACTGGATGCGTGGGATCAATGAATGATAGTGGACGTATATATATATTTACTTATATATTTGAAGGATTATTAATTCATCATTAAACGCGACTCCATAACACCTAAGTGAAAATCACCCCACTGTACTTGTTCACCGCACCACAGCCCAACTCAGGAACGAACCTCTGCCTCTCTCCCCGGTCCACCGAAAAAGAAAGGGAAAAAACTTAGGGAGAAAAGGAGAGATGAAAACACAGCTAATATTGAAGGTGCGCTGTTTGAAATAGTGAGGGCTTGAGTTAAGCTGATCGCTCCATGAGTGATTCAACCGAAAGGAAGCATCAGTACTGTTCTATACGAGATGAAATTAATAACTGGCTAGTACACTATTATGCATGATCTATGGAGTAGTTTGATCCTTCCTATCGTATCTTCCCTATTGAGACGTACAGAACCTAAAACAGTGAAGGAGAGAAACTAACTAGGCTACAAGAAATACATACAGCAACACTTGAACGGGCACCTAATTAAACTTAATTAGTTGTGTTTTTTAGGGTGAGGCCTGGGTCCGTATCTCGCGACCACCACTACCTTGTCGGCAGAGGCGGGACTGTTGTTTCCTCCGCGGCCGAAGCTTGGTTGTTCAACCCTTCGTCCAACCACGCCTGCTTCTCCCGTTGATCCCGGCTTCATGTGCGCGGTTTCAGTGCTGCCCTTGGTGTGCTCCACGCCGGGCTTCCTCGTCGTCGTTTGCAGTACTTCATTTGTTGACGGATGCTCGCCGGTCGACATGGACGGGCTCCTCACTGCAATGATAAATCGGCAGCAAATCGGATGGATAAACACAGCAGGAAACTTTAGGGGCGGTCGGAAAAAGAAAGAAAGCAAACACCAGCTACAAACTTTGCATATATAGTAAAACAATGCAAATATGATGTAACTTACCCTGGCGCGCATGAGCAACGGAATGGTCAAATGCGAGCAAGAAGATGGCCACGATGACCATGACAACAGTTGAAGAGGCCCTTCTGCAACCCATGCCGATCCGTATGTGTATGGACACCAACACACCACCAGTCCACCACCACTCCAAAATGAAACCACCCTCAAGCTTAAGGAAAGTGACGATGCCTTTTTGTTATTTGTTATAGTCAGGCAGTCAGCTCGAGAATCGATTGGTGGTCAAAGCTGAAGCTCGCGAGATCTCTTACACCACTCATTATATATATTATGCATACAAGCACTCCTCTAAAACATCTGTGCCCGCCCGTACTGATGTCCAAGCGTTCTTTAACAAGTCCGAGGCGTTCCTTTGCACCGCATAGTCCTACTCCTGCTAAGCTAGCTGCACTTGTACCGTGAGGCGCCACGCCACGCACGGTGCACGCACTGGCGCGGCACGTGTGGACTCTGTGCGCCCGCGTGCGCGGCCTTCCGCCGGGTGGTGGCCGGGCTTCGGGAGTTGAGCTCCCTGTTGGCCGGGCGCCCTGCCAAACTGCCGATGCCACGGGCGAGACGGTTGCGGGCAGCGTGACTGTGCGTACGTACACCAGAGGCACGTCTGCAGGGAGTCAGCAGGTGCCCGATTAATAAAAAGCCGTCTCGCATCGGGGTCGTTAAGGACCAAGATCCTAAGCTGCTAAGGAGGGTTTTAAAATTGACAGTCAGGAATCGCACAGAAAAGCGCAGTTGGTCGACAGTCGGCCGGTTCCCGGATCCCAACAAGACCAAGAAAAATGAGGCCACTTTTTATATTACACAAAGGATCGGCACGAAGGTCTTCTTGAATCGCCGCAGCTCAGTAAGATTTTGACCAAACGCCTCAAAGAACCCCAGAAAAAGAATCCTTGTACAAACGGCATACGAAGTACTCCAGGTATGAACATGCTGAGAATTTATCTCTAGTCTCTAGGACTAGGAAATTCAGAACCCTGACAATCACGAAAGGAAGCCAGTTCATTGGGGTTCAAAAACCCTCGGATGCCGTAAGAGGCATCTGCCAGTTGGATCTACCAGCCACGCGTTTGTGCTTTTGCCTATTAACTATAAGGTCAAACGGGAAAAGTTACTGCAACGACGACGACGATAGGAATTGGATGAGACGTAGACCAAATTTCAGTTCTTTTTGGGCACCACGAACTTGAAACCTTTCTTCACCTGCATGTGAGGACAGTACCAAAAGACCTGATGCTCCATTTACCGGTTCCACTCAGAGTCTCAGATGTTCTCCTCAATACAGCTTTAGTAAGAACTTCCTCACGGCTCTCACCAAAGGAAGAGGGTTCTCAACATGCACAGCATGGCCGCTATCTGGGATAATGATCATTTCACAAAGTTCCTTCCCTTTAGGACCATCAGATCCACATTCTGAGTGGTTCATTATCTCCATGCGCATTTTCTGAGAGATGTCTTTAAACTTTGCGTCCTTTTCACCAGCAACGATGAGTAAAGGCCTCTTCAAGTGCTTCAGGTCTTCCCACAGGGACCTGGTACATTGAAATTTGCATGAGACAGGATCACATGAATAATTTCTAATCTAATATAGCACAAAGTAACAAAGTGCAACTGGTCATTTGCTTATCAACTCCACTATCAGTTTGGCGTGTCAGTAGTACTCATTGACCGTTGGTACTGATAAAACAGAAGACACAAAAACACTGTAATGAAAATCTTACTATGAGTACAGTAAGGCGGTCTTACTTTTGTCTCCCCACACTTGAGTCTGCAAGAACCTTAGCTAGAGCTTTGATGTTTTTGTGTTTACTGCGTGTCCTCACTAGAGAGTCGAACTCAGGATGCTCTCGTAGACTGAAGGTTTGGTCACCCATCAACACAAGAGTTCCATACAGCGAAATAAAGAAAATTGTCAAACGAGTGCTAGCAATGCATATAATTTTACCATTTCGTACAGGCAATAATCAAACAAGCTAGTTCCTTCATCAGGTTATTACCTGTTCCACAGTTTTCCAGAGTACCATGTCTGAAGGAAACATTCAAGTCCACAAGACATCAGGAACTGGGCTCTTGATTTATCAATAGCGATACGACGTCTTCTGCTTGCTTCATCTCTCAATCCAGGACTTCCCGATATTGTAACAGCTCCACGAATCTGTTTGGCACAACAAGCTTTATAGAACATTCAAAACAGAAAGAAGTTCACACGAAATGTAAAAACACAGTTACCTTGTGATCTTGATTTAGTGCCATGTGAAGTGCAATCCTTGCACCCATTGAATAGCCAACCACCACCACCTCACCATCAGTTATGTGGCACATCAACTTCAACAATAAATCTGCAACTAGTTGAACTGTTACAATGAATTGTTCTGAATTTTTGTGACGTTGCATTATCTGTGACTCGCCATGACCAGGAAGATCAATTGCAATTACTCGTGCACTGGGGGCAAGAGCTTTCATCATGGGAACCCAGTCTTCACTCGTACCAAGAAATCCATGAAGTAAAAGAACAACCTTTTCCTGCATAGGTTAAATCATGGGTCATGGCACTAGTTACTGCAGCAGCAGCATATCAAGTAAAATGCAGGTAAAAAGCAATTTGGAGAGAGAGAGAGAGAGTATAACTCTTATACTCCCTCCGTTCCAAATTGTAAATCGTTTTGGTTTTTTTAGATACGTAGTTTTTATTATGTGTCTAGACAGAGCGTATATCTAGGTCAATGATCTAGGTGCATATAAAAAACTATGTATTTAGAAAAGCCAAAAACGACTTATAATTTGGAACGGAGGGAGTACATACCAAGGGGCAGTAAACCCAGAATTGAGAAAGTTTTATATATGTGCTATCACTGGTCAAATACACAGAATAAACTCTTATACAGCTATGTGAGGAAATACGACATCTGATTTTCAAAAGAATAGAAGAATTCTTACATTTGTATGATCACCAGCCTCTCGAAGTTTGACTAGATAAGAACAATCGTCCGCATCAACTTGGATAGAATATGACCTAAGTTTTTCTTCACCATACGTCCTTTCTATCTTGTCATTGTTTATGTTTAAATGGTGAAGATAACCATGGGCATCTTCTACTGAGGCTCGGATTCCGTCACCAAGTGGGGATGCATGGATCTTTAACTTTTGTTCTGATACATCTTCCCTTAACCACTGATACGTTCCAAGTCCATGTGCGGCAGCTCTACATTTATCTTTGTTTCTTATTCTGGAGACTATAGAGCTCTGTTGGTCAACATAATGTGCTAACTGTATATAGGATGCCAAACCTATAGAACTCTCATACGTGCTACTGATGACAGCCATCTTATCATGTAGCTGTGCCCATTTTGCAATATGAGCTGCATTCTCAAAACCTCCAACAACACTAGGTTTTATAACCTGAGCATGACAATTAAAGCAGGTTAAATATAAAAATAGAATAAACAACCTTCAAAACTAGCACACAAAGTTTTTCTCGGTACTCACAAGAGCAACTATTCCTGGATGAACAAATTGATGAAGCTTAGGAATTATATCCCCCTTAAGGTTGTCAATAGTCTCATCGAGTGCAACAGGCAAGACACTGTTTTCACAGAACTTGATGAGATCATTTACAGAGCTCACTGGTTCCTGTAAAGTAGAAAAAGAAACGTGAAAGAAGGTTCTAAAGAAAGAACAAGATGGAAATATGCATTATGGAAAATGGAATGAATCCCAGCCCTGAATAACAGTACTATAGAACAAGATGGAGCGGTAGCCAAGTTTCTTATTTTATGCACCCAACCACCTGGGCACAGGTGCTCCTGTTTTCCAAATAAATGGCACTATTAATTTAGTGGTAAGCGACGTGGCCATTGACAGTGAGACACCCATGGTGACTTTGTCAATCTAAAAAATCTACCAGTCTCTCGCAGGTGTCACAAGGGTAGTTTACGCGTATGTGCATTCATAGGGTGAGTGCATGATGTGTATGTTAGCGAGCCTTTAACACATAGCTTATGAAAATAAGGTATATTACCTCAATGTATTCCAAACGAAGACTTTTTACCCTAGATCCAAATTCAACTGCCTGTTCATATGTCCATTTCTGATTTGCATCAACACGGATATTGATTTGGTACCCAACAACTTTTCTTATTTTGTGAAGAGCAGTCGCATCCTCAATGGGGCTTTCATGGCGGCCAACCTTCCAAAGAGAAATTGGAAAGACATTATACTATACCTCGAATTAGCAAAAGAAACTATAAAAGCATTAACTTCCATGTCTTATGATTATGGAACAAGTTAAATAGTTACCTTCAGTTTAAATGTGGTAAAACCTTCAGCAGCCAGTTTGGCAACAGCAAGTGCTACTTCCATTGGAGAGCCATTGCAATCTACGAGTGCACAAATTTGTATGCTTCCAGAACTGTTCTGACTATATTCAATAACATTCTCGTCTCGGCCCAAGGGGTCACAACCAGCGAGAACTTTGAACAAACTACATTTCTGTTGTGATGCAAGTAAATTAAGAATAGCCATCTCCAAACCGCATTTAACACTTGGGAATATCGAAGAAGGCTGAGATGAAGGCAAAACGAGGAAAAGTTTAATCCTCAATGGGACTTTCATGGCGCCCAATCTTCCAAAGTCAGTATTAATAAGTTTGACAAGTTACTTACAGGAATCCCGAGGCTTGTCCATATCCAATTGGAAAAGGACCCTCTCAGTAAGGGAATAACATCTAGCACAGAATCTTTCACCCTGTGGAGAAGAAACCTAAGTTGCTCTTCGACATCCAACAGATCCTCCTCATGAATTTCGATTGGTGCAACCTGTTACAAGAAGTCGATCAGGACTAGAAATATGGAACACGCTCTAAGATGTATTACCAAACAAAATTAACTTGACCACCATTTTCTGGACATGCAAAATCAGAGCTATAGTTACTCCAAAGCATATTTAGTAGCGCAAACCAATTGCTATGTGCTACCATGCAAACACATGTGAACTGTTGGGATGAGAATCGGACACATCGGATCGGATCCAGTAAAACTTGAGCCATTTTCTTTATTAATGATTTTTCAAAATATTTTAGGGTTATTTGCAGGTCCTTCTGTTAACTTAAATCTAGTCAGTCTGCATGGCATCCATTGGCCTACATTGGAACCGCACATGAATACATGATAACAACAACAAATGATTACATCGTGGTAGGTGAGTTTGGTCAGTATATGTAGTTGGTCTTTTCCCCAAAGAGCAGTTTGTTCTGTTTATTAGTGATGGTGTGGCCAACATGTCAGCAAGCGATATTTTTGTATGGAAGGAAGAAGTGAAAGGAGCAACACTACCAGGTCCACAATTTATAGTAGTAAATTATACTTAAATTAGAGAATGGTAACCTAATGTCAAAATATTGTTTTGTCCAGTACAGTCACTGTGTTATCGGCCATATATACTATTACACTAGACTTTCCCCTTTTTTGAGAGGACACTGTACTATCCTCAACAACATAGGTTTATCATAATGCTAGTTGCCTGCTTCATTTACAGCCAATTTAATAGCAAAAATGTGCAATATGCTAGTGGAACAGCAGAATGGAAAAGTGGTAAAGACAAACCTCACCAAATCCTACAATGTTATCATCCACACGAAGCTTCAGAACAAATCCTTCATGAATGAATCTACCATCAGATAGCCCTGAAGTACGTGGTGCAGAAAGCTGGATTCTGTGCAAATGATGATTTCTAAGGCACATCGTAGAGAAGGTGTGAGCACTACATTCATTGGTACAGATTATTACATATACCTGTACAACATGCATTCCACTGAATCAATTCTGTCAACAGGTATGGCATCTACCTCACTCTTAAGACATGGAGCTTCTAGAAGATAGGCCAGATACTGACTTGTAGAATAGTTAGAGAACATGCTCATGATCCTGCAGAACTTGTACAAATATATAAACATGATGGAGAACACAGTTGTAAAAAAAAAAGATAAAAGAAATTTAGTTTGGATATGAACCTATGAAAGTTGGCATTGCTATCAATACTATTGTCTACTTCTACCACACAATCAACCTGTTCCATATTGGATTTCACCAATGCATCATGAAGCTCCGCTTTTGTTTGAACTAGAAAATGTTTTACCCTGCAACACAAGTAATGAGAGTGCCGAGAAGAAAACTCAGCAATAGAACATAGCAGACAACATAAGCAACAATCTCAACACCTTTAGAATCACTAATTTATTTATATATGTTGGCTTCAGGGGAAAACAATGATAAAAGTTAACTTTACAAGCATAAGGTTGAAGCTAATACACAGGTTCAGAGGAATACCAGCATAATTTTGTTACAACCAGATGGGGCTTTGTAAACAGAATAAGTGAATAGCAATTGGTGTTACCTGTGTGCAGCACATAGTTTGGAAATTGATATGTCATGAGAGGCGTAGAAGAATTTCTCCAAAATCTGTGGTGAAGCAGTTTTTGCAACTGGTAGAAAGCTGAAGATTGCACCACCATGGTTGTTGACAACAATTATTGTCATAGGTTTCCTCCATGCCCTTCAATAATGTCAATAGCATTATCCATAATGAATATACTGTTCAACATCATGACAATACAGGAGTAGCTTGGGTAAATAGTGTAACAACATTTTTGTTGACTGTCACTAGGTTGATCTAATAGGAATTGGTCATGTCTGAGATGATCAGGTTAATGGACAGGTGCAGAGAAGGGTACAAACTACAAACCTTTGGTTGAGAAGTGCCAATCCATTTGTATCATGAAGAAAAGATATGTCACCAACCACACAGAATACCTGAAAACATGCAGAGTCAAGTTCTGCCAAAAGCCTAAAAATTCATTCCTCATTCCTCAAGTGAATGATTAAGTACAAATGTACTGATAAGAACACCAACCTTTTTTAAGAAGAACAAGCATGTCTTAAATTAAATGAAGTGCTATAATATGCCTATACTAGTATGAAAATTATTTTAAGTCAGGCTTAAGTCTAAGATAAATAGAAAATGTACAAGAATATATTATCATTTAATCAGAAAATGTACAAAATTCATTGCCTCTAATAGGAATAATTTCCCTAGAACGTGGACTTCAACTAAAGAAATGACTTACATGCTTGTTTGATCCAATAGCAAATCCGATTGCTGTGCTGATTAAACCATCAATGCCACTTGCTCCTCTGTTCCCAGCCACTGCTGTGCCAACAAAGTCTGGAAAATGATGTGTCATCACATTATTTCCATTTGTAGTGTAATCCATCCAACCGTTACCAAACATGTCTAAGTCTCGGATGACCATGCTGTTCCCAACAAACATGACAGCATCACCATAAAGTGACTTCCCAATTACATGAGCAACATATGGTTCTGTAAGTGAGCACTTTGCATGTATCTGAAACATTATCTCCTGAGAAACCTGGAGTGGGCAACAGTTTGTGAGAACAAAACTCAATAGCATAAGGGCCAAAAGACCTTTTCAGTTATTCCCAGGGAGAGGGAGCTCTAGCACAAATAAAATATCCAGTGATGCCATGATAGCAAAAAAAGGTACATGACAAAAACTGTTTGCTACATTGAAATTTCAAGGTGCAGTGAACCTTTTTATCCATTATAAAGTAGCTGTATTAGTGGAAGATTGATGGATTAAAGGCTTATAACAAATGGTTAAGTGCAGAAGGATTAATTATCCATATATGGCCATGTTCGTATGTTTATAAAGCATGTTATGTCTTTACAAGATAGCTACCATGTTTCAGCTCATACCACTGAATTAAGAATGGTCAAAATTTCTGTCCATCTGCTTCTCTTTCTTTGAAAAGTACACCGGCACAAACTAGCAGCAAATTCTGCTACATTAGCTTGTATTCTGTGAGTGACAACATGTGAAGGATCATGACGACACGGATGTCTATCGATCAAGATGTAGGAAGATGGGAAGGAAGTCTCTAGAAACATTCCCACTCGTTTGCTAGTAATACGGCTGCCAATCTGCCAATCAAACAGCATCAACTTCAAAAACTTATGACATATTAAATACACCGCATAATTACTGAAAAAAAGAAAGATATAGGGAACAGTGCAAAGAATATAGAATCAATGAGGTTTGAGAAGGTAAACCTGAACAATGACATCCGGGCTTATCCAGTTTTTAGCAGAATCAGACAATAGAATTTGATCAATGTGGTCTATAAACAAAATGCTCTTATCAAGCCCTGGCAATGAATTTACAACTTTCCGCAATCGCAGTCCAGACAGAATATCTGTAGCAACTGGCCAGGATAGGTGCCTAGCTAGTAAAGCTACAGCCCACATATCTTCATCCGTATGAATAGCACCCACTAAAAGAAGCCCTTGTTCTGCCTTCTCTATGATCTCCAGGACCTCCATTACTGAGCAAGAGTAATTACCAAATGCAGAAACTGCTTTCATTCTTAGGTATCTAGTATATGGTTCGCTATTTTTAAACCACTTATCCAAACCTCGCAAACAGTCAACATTCCAATGTTGATTAGTGTAATCTAGTGGTTCTCTAAAAGCACAGTTTATATGCACTGGGCCTTGTGGTGCTTGCATTGCATAGTAGGCTGCTGAATCAAGTGTAGTGAGAACCATTCTTGCATGGATTTGGTCTCCAGGTGGGGGGAGATTAAAAAAATATCTTACAAAGGTACCGAAATGATTGACCTGAAAATGGAAATTAAACTGTTGAGACAGAAAAAAAAAAGAAGACAGAACCTGGTAAATGAGTTTACCTAGAACAAAAATAAGAAAAAGTCAAGTGCCAAAATTGCAATCCTAACAAGTGCAACTTTATTTATTGGTGTTTCCTTATGTGGGGGGTATAATGGATCTTAGGGTTCACTTGGCATATAAAACACATTTACACAATAATACTGTTGAGAAAATGGCAGAACCTACAAATCTTAATGTGTCATAAGAAATTCAGAATTTTAGGAGTGCTGAAACCCATGCAGACGAAGACAAATGTTATCAAGAATTTTGTATTTTAGAATGTATATGCAATCAGAAGTACCTGATTGATGGCTTGGTTAGCTCCAGCATCATGCAACTCAGGAGGACGGTCAGCTGTGAGTAATATAATTGGTACGAAATCTTGACTTGCCTCAACCACCTACATTTGAGTGACACAGTGAAACTTTGATTTAACCCAGATAATATTGTCTTTGATTCATAGAACTACGTGCACTACCACATCCAAATCATTTTTCTTTTATTTTACGGGAATTACTACCATATGCCTTCCTAAAGGTATACAAAAGCACTACTATATGCAAAAACTTGTTGGGTTATGGAACAGAAAAATTATGTGTATTTATGAAGGCTCGTAGCATTAGAATAAGGAAAAGATGCATTTTTTAGTGAAACAAATCTGCCACTCACTGAAGGAAGAAGATTTGATACAGCGGTTCCTGATGATGTGATTACTACTGCTGGCTTTCGAGAACCTCTCCCATAGCCAAGAGCATGAAATCCAAGTGAACGTTCATCATAACATGATATGCATTTTGTCAAAGGATGGCCTGTAGCAGAAAGTGCAAGCGGGGATGATCTCGACCCTGGAGCTATACAAAAGTACTAAAGCAAAATGGATTAGAATAATTCTAGACATGCTAAAGGTACTAAGTCGGTTAAGCTTACCGTGAAACCGAGCCTAACACATTCTTCAACTATAAGGGATGCCCATGCCAAATTTATGTTAGAGCAACTCTTGATGAAAAATTCAATCGTGTTGCGTTGCAAATATAACTCCTACAGATGGTACAGAACAATATTAGCTATTTTGGTATAGCTCTCCCTCCTTCCTTCCCTCCCTCCCTCCCTCCCTCTCCCTCTCCCTCTCCTTCTCCTTCTCTCTGCCTTTTTGAATTGGTAAGTGATGTAGACTGCAGTGAATCCTAATATACCAAGGTTATATACTTGAATAATAAATTGTTGGCCATATGCAGCTAATGAGCTAAAGATACTTTTTTAACGTTCAGCTAAAGATACTTGGGCGGTATCATACCATGTTCGAATAAAGGAATAGCTGTGGTGAAAATCTAACAAATGACTGATCAGAAGTCAGAAAGTTCTCCTGCAAAAGAAGAGTGTCAGATGTGATCAGGGATATAATTTAATGATACAAAGGACATAAATTACACTTTCAAAAAGAAGGTATATTAACAGGAAAATGTTTCTTTGTCCCCCAATTTTGCGGGCCCATTTCTACTGCAAAGTTTTAGTGCCCAGCGTTTTGGTCTGAGAACCCTAGGAGTAGGTCAAGACAAATGTACCAAGTTAGCGCCAGGTGGCACCAACATGTTCGTCACCCCAGTACCCCCACCAATTTAGTGACTCAGAGATTTAATGGATTTGGCGTTTTTATGGAAGATTTAGTTTCGAACTGTAACAAATATTTAGGGACGAAAAATAAACTTTACACATTCTCTGATTCCACATGGTAAGATTATAAGATGTGTTTTCTACCATGATACAGGCCAAACATCTTCTGTAAGAAGCATGATATTTTTCAAGGAGGGCAGAAGTCTTTTTTTTGGAAAACAAATCAATCTCAAACAAAGCATGGTATAATGTTCCAGGAAGCTTACCAAGGTTAAGGGGATACCTTTTGCACACTAGCTTTGGCATCTATTGAGGCTAGAACTTCTGCATCCAAATACACCTGTAAGATGGATCCAACAAATCAGAATTAACAACCAAATGCCATAGGGTATTAGGAAAATTGTGGTTACCCTGGATGGGGTACTAGCTGCATCATCCTAGCTATAATGCGGGGTTTTCCTCCAAATTTCCAACATTTAAATTTGCAATCCGTACTATGCAATCCAAGGCAGAAATATTACCAACTGAGCATTTCCAGTCTCTGACAAATGTGCATCTCCAGAAATGTAACTTGGTACCAAGCCTTTGTGAGAAATGCTAGCTGAAGAATCATAGCTATTTTGTATCTGTTTCAGATGGGAAAAATAAATATTAAATTGAATAATAAGCTACTATATTTGTTTTGACAAAGTAATGAAGTTCTTTAGATCAGATGATACAGAAGCATAATGTAGCATAAAAATTAAAAAGTGAAGTCCATCAAATAACATGTTATACTGAGTCTTTGTAAATTTGGTCAAATGAAATAACAAAATCATCAAAGGAGAAATTACAAAAAATACAATAACTAAGTGAGAAATAAGAAAAGACAAATCAAAATTATTTAGCAATAAGTTGAAAAACTGAAAAATTGTTATCTAGTTCCACATACCTGATCAAAACAAGATTCAAATAAAGAAACCGCATCCTCGAACTTGTGAGAAATAGAATCGTCCCAAACCAGGGTAGATGATAATATGGAACAACTATCAAACTCACTCAACTCAACCTGTAAAATAAATGTGCTAAAGCATCAGAAATGCTAGAAGTCAAATATTTATGTGATGCCTGCAAACAATAACTGAAAAACAAGAGTCTGTGGATTGTGGGTTAGATTACAACATGACTGGTTTGCAGAAAATACATAGAAGAAAAAAACATCATTCAACATTTTTCATCATCCCTCAACAGGGTTGATTTCCACTTTGGACTCTTTTTTGTAGCATTTCTTTTGCATGAGTAATACTCAAAATGGATATTGAGATATAAAATTATACAACATAAAATCTTAAATTGTGCAATGTTATGACCATAATACTCACCCAGACATTTCCATTCACCAACTTTCTTTCGGGGGCCAAGTCAGGATCCCTTGGTAGTCAATCAAGCAAAGTTGTACTTCTAGCATTTTTTATTTACATAAGTTAAGCTCAGCACTGTTTAATTGTTTATATCAGCGCAATTGCACTACTACTGCATGTAAGAACTAAGAATAATGTTGCTTCAACAAAGAATCATCCTTCACTTAACATTACTTTGAGGAATTAAGACTAACACTACAAAGGGAACCCTAAGTTTTTCAGCTTTGTATCAAACTATCAATGCAACTATATGAGCCATAGCCATAAAGATCAAGTATATCACAGATTGTACATAAAACTTGAGGTGTAGAGTTGTCCTCTATCTGAATGTAAAATGACTTCTGCATTGAGTTTATATTGCACAAAGGCTGATCAAAATACTTCTAGTCCTAGACCGTGTGCATGCCATAGGAAAATGAAGGTTATTACTTGAGGGATGAAGAAGTAATATGAGCCAAGTTTCTCCTCTACTAATGGCGATTCCTTGACATAATTCATGTCTACAAATCCGTAGGCCTTTATCAAGTGTGAATCAGAAGAAATATATCTGCAAGGAAAAGTAAGTCGTTAATTTTGTTATAGAGGGAGGGAGGGAAGGAAGGAAGGAGGGGGGGTGAAACCTCACCTCGATACCAAATCAAATTCATTCTTTACTAGGTAGGAACCATGAAAACATATTGCGGAACCAATGCCACAGATTTCAAGTTGAAATGATGGAGCAGACGTCAGCTTCCTTGATAAATAAAACTGAGGAAACAATGATGATCCTCTAAACTGAGAGCACCACTTAAGTGCCTTTGTACTGGGTGGAACAAGTACCTGCACCATTGTATGTTGAGTTAATCAACTTCCAATATCGCTTGGACTTAAAGAAGAGAGACAAATTCATGCCAAAACTAATTATATCACTATAATAGTTGAATGCATATACTTCAGAATCTTGACACAGATTCTAGAAAAATGCACATGCTGCACATGTCCATGCCAAAAGCAAACAGTGCTCTGGCTGCACAAATTTGGGCAAATAGCCATCTAAAGAATCTAGGAAGCCTAGTTGAACCTTAAGGGGAAAAAGAGCACAAGTTTGAAGGTAAATCCAAATGCTGCATTTGCCATAAACTTATAAACCCATTACCCGAAGGAGATACTGAATAATAGAATTGCACTATATCAAAATTTTAATATAAAAACTAACAACATCCATCAAGTACCAGTCTGCCAGGGTGACTCTAACAATCTAGTCCCGAGCCAACAAATTGGAGGGAGATGCTTTGCGTGCTAACAATTGGGTACGAACGAATTGACCAACTGAAAGTGATCCAAACCTGAAACCCCCGTATTCTCACATACACAACTCTACCATTGATCAGCGGCGCCCGTAAGATTTCTCAGGCAGCGATGGAATGAAAGAGGGGTGAAAGCAAAACAGCATCGTAGTAACTACATAGCGAAGCCCCAAAATTCTGCAAGTTCTCACTGTACTCAACAGCCATCAGTCATCGGCTCATCGCCAATCAAAATGCACCCGCTACTCTTCATCAAAGCAGCATAGAGTAGCGACGATACCCACACCGTACCTCGAACCTGATCACGCCGCTCCTGGCGCCAGCAGGCGGGGTGACCTTGACCTCATTGGCGGCCCGCAGCAGTGCGTCGAGGCCGTCACCGACAGTGAGCGCGGGGGGAAGCCTCCTCGTGAACGATACGTCCACGGGGAGGTCGCGGTCCCCGTTCTCAGCCATCTCGTCGACGTCGATCACGATACCAGCGTGACGCCCTGCGCGCGCGCGGAGCAGGACGAGAGGGGTGCTACTGTGGCGGATGCGGCGGCGGGAGAGGCCGCGGCGTCGAGGTGGGAGGGGAGGGAAAGCGCGGAGGGGGGTGAAGGTGAGGAGAGGAAGGCGGGGAGGGGGCGAGACGGCGAGCATGCCAGGTGGCCGGGTGGGGAAGAGGGGGAAGACCGGAAGAGGCGAAAGAGAGTGGTAGTGGGAAGTGGACGTTGGGTTTACGAAGGGAGGGGATAGGGTTCCGGGGCCCAGCCAAGTCATCCTCGTGTGGGCTCTGCACGGGCTGGGCTTGGCCGGTAGAGTGTGGGCTTTTAAGGCCGATCACATATGGGACAGCTCAGCCAGCAGGTCTCAATTTTGCTAAAAAAAAGGCAGCACGTCTCAATGCCAAAGGCACATATGGGACAGCTCAGCCAGCAGGTCTCAATTTTGCTAAAAAAAAGGCAGCAGGTCTCAATGCCAAAGGCTATGTAGCCAAGGGAGCAAATATTAGTTTCAAAAAAAAGGAGAGCAAATATTACAGGATTTAATAGCATTGTGTTTTTCAGTGGTAGGCGATGTTTCCGTCGACAACAAAGTGCCTCTCGAAGATTTCTCGGCTCGGTCTTCGAATATGCTCATAGAGATAGGATTTGCATCCGTACGTTCATAGGGATGAATGTGTGTTGTGAACGTTCTTTCTGTTTTTTCTTCTTCGTATCTGTCTTTTTTTCATCCACTTTGAATTTTTTGTTTTTCAAAAAGTAAAAAATAAATAAATAATAAACGACCGGTACAAGTCTTAGAATCATTGGCCGTTACTTAATAAGAAACAAAGATTAGAAACAAATCTTATATTTGTTAAAATCTAGATCAGTCGATGGTCTAACTAATCAAGTCATGAATTGGATCTTGAGCAGTTTATTATCTAATCCAATCTAAATAAATGTATTCTTACAGTTTCCAACGGAGGCTAACATGTGAAAAGTCGAGAGGTCTTTCACCATAATTATCAGCGCACAGATTAATTCTTGATACAACGCTAACTCTTTCCCAACTTTAAGCAAACATTAGACTTACATATTTTAAGGGTCCTCGAAGAAAGTCACGGAAGTCAATATTTAACTATAGTAACAAAAGATAGTATGAAATTGAAGTTATGGTACATTGTCTACATATTTCTATGCTTTGCGACAAGAGAACAAATCTATTAAGCTTATATTTTAATTCAACACGGGTTTAATAGGACATTGTCATATTATTGCCAATATTAACTTATATTTTGTATATCATATTCATCATAAAATAAATTTTAGATTTTTTTCCACAACGAGATTTTAGATTTTATAGAAAAGGTAAATAATAAATAGCTATATACCATTTCCGTCGTCGTTGGCCATAGACCTTTGATAGTTGTTTTTCTCCCGTTTGAAAGGTCCTAATGACTATAGAGGTGAATAGCCTATTAAAAATTCTACAACAATACTAAGCCAAGTGGTTAGATAATTATGAGACGAAGTAAGTGTTGCGCTAGCTTACTAAAAATGCAAGCCTTTTATCCACAATTCTACTTGCTATGATCTATAATTCACACAAAAACTAAGTCACTACTCTTTAAGTTAGTGAGCACTCAAAGACTAACTAAAGAGTCTTACTAATCAAACTAACAAGACACAAGCTAGCTCTCAAAACTAGTTACACTAGAGAGCTTAGCTACACTAAAAAAGTAAGTGTAAGAGAGGTAGTGAGGTTTATACCGCCGTGGCAAGAGATATACAATCAATCGCAAAGAGAATCCCGGAGACAATGATGACACAATGATTTATCCCCGAGGTTCACTTACTTGCAGCAAGCTACGTCCTCGTTGTAGCGATTCACCCGCTTAGAGGTTCACGCGCTAATAGGCATCACACGTCTAACCCGCAATCGGGTGCCGCACAAACATCACAAGATATGAATCCACAAGCTACGAGCAATCCACTGGAGTACATTTTGGTTCTTCGTCGGGGAAAGGTTAAGAACCCCTCACAATCACCACAATTAGAGTTAGAGACAAGCACCACCCTCTGCTCAACGATCCTCGCTGCACCAAGCCGTCTAGGTGGCGGCAACCACCAAGAGTAACAAGCGAAATCCACAGCGAAACATAATCACAAGTGCCTTTAGATGCAATCACTCAAAACAATGCACTTGAATGCTCTACAATCTCACCAAATGATGATTCAACCAAGTAAGATGAGTGAGAGAGGAATGGCTAGGCTCACTAGGGTGCATTCTCAATAGAAATAGCCAAGAGAGTGAGCCTAAGCCGACAAACACAAATATATAGGGAGCCCCAACGAATAGAGCCGTTGGCCCCTTACTGTGCTGATTTTAGGGCGACTAGACTCGTCGGTCAGTCTGACCGGACGCACGCTCACTAGCGTCCGGTCGCTGATCTCCGTCCATGTGTCCCCCGCGTTCAACGAGCGCCGTGCGATCCCAACGGTCAAAACGATCCCGCCAACGTAGTTAGTCACGACTGGATGCACCAGACGCTGACCGGACGCGTCAGCGCGGAGTCCGGTCGCGTGCGCCCGTGCAGCTAGTCAGCCGAGACCGAACGCACTGCCGAACGACCTGACGCCCCACCACCACGCATCCGTTCAACTCTAGTAAGGTTCTAGAGCCGCTTTTACGCGATTAGACGCGTCAGGTCAATCTTGATCGGACGTAGGCTAGCGTCCGATCCCTACTGCTGCCACGCGCAAAGTCTAGTACCGCTATGTCACCATACATCACTAGTGAAAGGATCAAGATGCCCAAGAGGAGGGGTGAATTGGGGTAATTCTAAATTTTAGCAATAATTAAACTCTACACTTAGCCCGCTTCACCCCTTGTGCCTAGAATGTATTTCTGTTGTTCTACCGTACAAAAGTTTTACACCCTAGGTTCCAATCCTAGTCTAGCATGGCAATTCTAGGAATGTAAAGACAAGAAATAAATTGCTCAAATGTAAATGCTCAAAGTAAAGAGAGGGAAAGGAACGTGGCGATATTTTCCCGAGGTATCGGAGAGTTGCCACTCCCCACTAGTCCTCGTTGGAGCACCCGCGCAAGGGTGTAGCTCCCCCTTGATCCGTGCAAGGATCAAGTGCTCTTTATGGGCTGATTCTTCGACACTCCGTCGAGGTAAATCGCCCACAACCGCTCACAACTTGAGTTGGGTCATCCACTAGCTCCACCGGATGATCATCAAGCTCCCAATCACCACCTAGCCGTCTAGGTGATGGCGATCACCAAGAGTAACAAGCACAAACTATCACTTGACCACGATAAGCCTAATGAGAAGGGTGGATGTACACTTGCTACTCTCCTTGCACTAATGAGGACCTTAATTTTGGATTCTCAAATCTCAATCACCCCACTAGGCTCTTGCTCTCCCTTGCACTCTCAAGGTGTTTATCAGCTGAATAAATGGACAAGAGACCTCCCATGGATGAGTGGAGTAAGTATTTATACCCCCTCATTCAAAATATAATGTTTGGAGGCTAAGTCAGCACTCTGCGGGGTGATCGGACGCTCCGGTCAAGTATACCCGCCACTGTGTCAGGAAGAGCCGTTAAGCTCTGACCGGACTCTGACCTGTGTTCGGTCAGCACTGACCGAACGCGTACGGTCAAGAAAAATATTATCTGGAACCTTACTGATGTTGACCGGACGCTGGCCCCTAGAGTCTGGTCACTTCACTGTTCAGCGTCCGGTCAGTTACCGGATCCTAACTAGCGTCTGGTCAGCACCGACCGGACGCGTCCGGTCAGGAAACAGTCTCTTTGAAACCTCTCTGAAGTTGACCAGACGCAGGTACCCAGCGTTAGGTCCACTTTCACTCAGCGTCCAGTCAGTACTAGACGACTGCAATTAATCAAATGAACTGACTGAACTCACCCTCCAGCGTCCGATCGCAACCAGACCAGCGTCTGGTCAGTAATTTGACCCTCCATTCATTTCTAACTCGAAATCCTATGTGAATAAAGTTTACTCCAATTGATCTTAGGGCTATTACTAAGCTACCTAGTGCTAGGTTTGACAAGTGTGCACCACACCTAACCCACTAGACTCACCTAGGTTAAACTACTAGTCCATACCCCCTTAATAGTACGGTCAAAGGAAAAACAAGGTCCTAAACTACTCTAAGTGTCTCTTCAACACTAAACGACACTTAGAACTAGTCTTTCCTTAACCTTGTCGTCCATTCTTTGAAAAACGAAACGATTTTCATCAACAGGGGCATGACAACCATGATTGTTCAATCAATTGCCATTACCATGACCTAACTCAAATTGCCTCTGCAAAACACACGCTAGTCATAGTAATCTCGTGTCATCATTAATCACCGAAACCCAACTAGGGGCCTAGATGCTTTCAACCAGTGACCGGACGCAGGCCCTGCGCGTCCGGTCACTCCCCCGAGCCAGAGTCCGGTCGCATCACCGAGGCCACTCCACCACGCGCCAACTGACAGGACGCGTAGGACCAGCGTCCGATCCTGCGTTCGATCGCTGGAAATAGCGCCTCCTCAACACCAACTTCTCCACCCTTGCTCAAATGTGCTAACCACCAAGTATATCACCTTGCGCACGTGTGTTAGCAACTTTTCATAAATATTTTCAAGGGTGTTAGCACTCACTAAAATCTAAATGCATATGCAATGAATTAGAACATATAGTGGCACTTTGATAACCGTAATTCACGACGAGTTTCACCCCTCTTAATAGTACGGCTATTTATCCTAAATGTGATCACACTCATTAAGTGTTTTGATCATCAAAATAAATGGCCCTATGGATATCACCTTTGCCTTGAGCCTATTTTGTTTTTCTCTTTCTTTCTTTTTCCAAGTCCGGAGCTTGATCATCATCACATGTCCAACACCATCACTTTGGACTTCAATTGCTCCACCACTTGGATTGGTACTAACCTATCTCATAAACATATAGAACAAAAGGTTAGTACCTAGGGTTTTATCAATTCACCAAAATTAAACTAGAGCTTTTCACCGTTATAATGCACGGACATATTTACTATTATAATATAAATATAAAAAATCAATATTAAATAGACACATAGGCATTGAACCATTAACTCTTCTTCTAAAAAAATAAATATAATCACCGCTAAGTTGTTGATATAGTTATTATTTGAAAGAAAATTGTTCTTACTGAAATCTAGATCAGCATATGGTCATTCAACTGATCAAACCGTAAAATCAAAATCTTGAACAATTTATAGTCTAATTTAGTCAAGATAAATATATCTCTGCAATTCCTAATGAGGACTGCCATGTAGAAAATCGAAAGAAGTCTGTTGTCATAATCATTGACAGACAGATCAATCTAGCAACTAACTTCTTGCTGACTTTAATCAGAAATTAATAAAGTAACCATTTACCATAAATGGTTGATAGTGTACTTCTCCCATAGCAACTCACGAACATATTTGCTAGTCAACATAGAATCTCTAAAGATCTTTGTAACTACTGGAAACTACTTATAAACACTACACTGATAATGGCCCATACTTCTTTATTTAATGAGACTAAAACTTTTACCAAACCATAACTAAAATCGCTCGCAGAGAAGGGTGTGTTTGGATCAGGGACTAAAATTTAGTTCGTGTCACATCGAACATTCAAATGCTAACTAGAAGGACTAAATATGAGCTAATTATAAAACTAATTACACAAGAGTAGACTAATTTGCAAGACGAGTCTATTAAGCCTAGTTAGCAATATTTATTGTAGCACCATGTTGTCAAATCATAAACTAATTAGACTTGATAGATTCGTCTCGTAAATTAATCTCAATCTATATAATTAGTTTTAAAATTAATCTATGTTTAATACTTTTAATTGGTATAAGATTCGACGTGTGGCTAAACTTTAGCCCGAGGCGGAAAAAAAACCCCGATCGAACATAGGTTAGCCACACGTCTGGGAGAACAGAGGCCAATTCGTGCTGACGTCGGCCACTTCGCTACAATTCCCAACGTTTTGGAATTTTCCGTACCGTATCTGACAGTACAAAAGGCACGAGAAAAAGAAAACAAAACACGGGGGCAAAACCTTTCGGCAAACGAACAGGGAAAGTGAAAAATCGCTTTCACACAGGTCGCGAAACAGAGGCGAGCAGGGCGCTGCGTTGTCACACAGCGGGAGTCCTCCCTCCCCGAGAGATTTCCTTCACAGAGCCGCCGAATCGGGTCCAATCCCGTCGATCTTTCTGGCTGCAGCCACCACGGGACTCCAGAAGTTGCCTTCGATTCGGCCTGGGCTGGGGAAGCGGGGATGGGGCTCGGGGAGGCGGCGGGGCGGCTCCTGGCGGCCGTGGACTGGGAGCGCGAGGCCTACCCGGCGTACGATGACTTCCTCGCGCTCCCCGGCTTCGTTCTCTTCTTCCCTACCGTCCGCTTCCTCCTCGACCGCTTCGTCTTCGAGGTGCGCCTGCCCTTGCCGTCTTTCTTTCTTTCTTTCTTGCTTCCGTTGTTTCGGTCAAGGTCTTCGACTCTGCGCTGAACGCGAGCGCGTAGCTTGCTGCCGAGAAAGTCGCCTCGACTTTTGCTGGTTTCCCTAGCTCTAATAGCAGCTTGTACAATTGACTCGGCTAAACAGCTTGTCTTGTGTGTGCAAGGAGGCGCTATTTTTAGTGATCTCATCATCTAATCGTTGCGTGTCTTGGGTTAATTTGATACGTGGAAAGCGATTTTATCTTTTTCAAGCAATCTAAGCTCAAATGATTAGCTTCTCCTCAAGATCTAAAATCATGTCTTTTCTTTTTCTTTTCTTCTCATAGCAATTTTTCCCTCTCCTCGCCTATATATAGCTTCTAAAACTGTTTGGTTCCAAACTCTATGACCACTGAAATATGCTTAACGTATGGGCACAATGTTTCTCCACGGTAAATGGTGGTCCCGGAATCCAGGATCAGTCCAATGCTAATGCTATGCAGCTTCCGCATAGAAGGTAACGGGAGTTAATGGGGATGCTTGCTCTTTTAACATTGGTTCTTGATAAGGAGGGAGTAGCCTGGTTGGTTGGTTTGCAGCCGCGAACAGGTTTCCTGAAGAATTTGTTGGTTCATACATCAGTATGTTGGCAGCTGTTCGGACTGGTCTTTTTTAGACTTAAAGAGGGTCGCATTATTTAAATCCAATTGGCATACTATTTCTAGGATTAGTTGCTCTTTTTAGTATGGTAAACTAAGTACAGTTGGTTGATTCATGAGTATGAAGACCTGTTTAGAATGTCTTCTGTTGGACAACAATTTCTGGAGTAAGAGAGAGCCTGTTTTTTTTATGAGCCGGCTGAGGATTTTGAGCTAGGAAAATGGAGTATAAATCCATTGAAATACTACAATACCTGCTGATTACAATGTTACAAGTTCCAGGTGTGGAGTGTGAGAACAGTTTGCTTCACCTTCTGGGACCGTAAATTTCGCTGAGCTTTATATATTCCCTGTTAAAGTGAACAGTGCCTACTATGTGATCAACAGGAGGAAAATATTCAACATCTTCTTGTGGGCTGTGTATTCTCAAGAGATTTTTGGTTCTCCCTTCTGTTGCATTTTGGTTTTGCATCACTTGCTCCACATCCTACTGACCAATCCTTTGATGAATGGTGGAGAAAAGTTGTTAACTCTGCTAGTGAAGATTTGAGGAAGGGTCTGAACTCTCTAGTCATTTTGGGAGCCTGGAGTATCTGGTGGCATAGAAATGATTGCGTTTTCAATGGTGCAACCCCAAATGTTAATATGGTGCTGGCTTTGGCAAGGGAAGAGACCCATTGGTGGAGCCTGGCAGGAGCCAAGGGGATCTCCCTGCTCACTGCCGGAGGAGCAGTCTAAAGGACTGCTGTAGCGGTCGGGTTGTCCATTTGCTTTTAACCGGCGATTTAGTTTCCTTGTAGTGGGTGTTTGTGTGTGTGGGTTTGGTTCTATGTATGACTCTATTCTTCTATTAATACAATGATACGCAACTCTCCTGCGTGTTCGAGAAAAAAAAAAGGTGTTACTGAAAATTTCTAGTGCTAGCTATATGTATGAGCATTCAGATCTGGAAAGTAACTGTAACCAGTCAGCAGTTGCATTTTGGAATTTGGGCACCAGAAATGCAGAGTTCTTCCATTCATTTTGGTGAAGCTAAAAGATTTACAGCAGGATAAATTATGTCCATTTATAAATATTGCTAACTGGAAGGCTAGTCGAGATGCTAAGTTCAACTAGATGAAAAATGAAATTGTTTATTTTACCCAAGTGTTATTATAGAAAATAATGCACAATCACTTTATACAAATCTGGCTAATGGAGTTCTTTTGGCCCGCAACCATTTCTATCATTTGTATTATGTTTCAACTCGAGACATTTTCATTTCCCTGCTGGGATCATTTTCATCAGTACTTATCATTTTTGTCATTATTGGGTTCGCATTTGCTTATGCCTTTGAAATACGTTGTTCTGAAAAGGGTTACATTCCAAGGATGCATGGCTTCGCAATATGCTTCTATGTAGTCATGTCTCTGGTGTTCCAATGATTTCTCTTTTGATCCACCTACTCTGTTTTTCACATTTTCATTTTTTCTGCATTTATTTTAATGGTCCACCTACTCTCTCTTTTTTCACATTTTTCGTTTCATCTTCATTTATTTAATCATTGATATATTATGTTCCTTAGGTCGTGGTTGATCCTTTTGTACGAAGTCATTGTTTTTTTATTCTAAGTTTTGCATTAATCGATAACCTAACTGTTTTTTTTTCTGTAACTGTTTTAGTGGGTTGCGAGGAGGCTTATAAATGGGAATGGACATCAGAGAGCTAATAATGAAACAGAAGAAGCAAGGAAGAAGATAAGAAAATTCAAGGAATCAGCTTGGAAATGTGTTTATTTCCTGTCTGGAGAGCTTTTATCTTTGTCAGTCACATATAACGAGCCTTGGTTCACCAATACCAGATATTTTTGGGTAGGACCAGGAGAACAGGTCTGGCCTGATCAAAAGATAAAGTAATTCTGATCCTTCCACTGTACTTTTTTGATACAAATTCTTAATGGTTCTCAGGCTGGTCTAAATCTAATGGTTGCGCCCTTACTCTCAGATTGAAACTTAAGGCTGTATATATGTATGCTGCTGGATTCTACACACATTCCATATTTGCACTAATGTTTTGGGAAACAAGGCGTTCAGACTTTGGAGTGTCAATGTCACATCATGTTGCTACTGTTATTCTGATTGTTCTATCTTACGTGTTCAGGTATGTTTCTTATCTTGAGTAACTGTTAGCTTTTGTTGTTTCATGAATTTGCAACATCATTCTCTCAGTATAGGAGGACTTCTTAGTCATCAGTGCTGATTTGTTAATTTCTTTTTCTAACTCCTCTCATAATTCATGGACAATTTTTTAATTTCAATCTTCTTTTCCTTGGTCAATCAGATTTGCTAGAGTTGGCTCTATAGTATTGGCAATTCATGATGCAAGCGACGTTTTCCTGGAAGTAGGGAAGATGTCCAAGTACAGCCATTGTGATTGGCTTGCCAATGTTTCGTTTCTGTTTTTTGTTATTTCATGGGTTCTTCTCCGCCTCACATATTTTCCGTTCTGGATTCTGAGAAGTACAAGGTAAATTGTTCTGTTCTGACTCATAAGTCTATCAGATTCTTATGCCAAGAAAAATCACCAAGTCTGTAAAAGTTTGTTTGCATATACAGTAGAAAGCAGATTGGTATCTTATTTGTTTTGTACTAACGTTTATTGTGAAAAATTGGACAGTGGCTTCCTTCTAATCTAAAGAACAACCCTTCGTATAGTCTGGCAGTAGCATCTTATACTCTAAAGAGAATTTTACTCTGTACTTCCATTGACCACACAAATAAGTTTTGGATATTTTTTGTATGCACCACTGGCACGAATTAGAGATTTCACACCTTTGTGGACTTTGCTAATCATATAACTCAGTGTCCAAAATATATCATAATAAATAATTATATAGACATGTTAAATTCTGATAAGGTACCATACAGATTCGCCCCATTGCAGTGTTGGTCCGGTTCACAGTTTCTTTGTTGTGGTGCTTGTTGAGTCGATGTGAGGTTGTGGCCTTCATCGTGTGAGTTGGTGTTGTTTTCTGTTGTAGCTGTGGTTTTCCCCCTGTTTTTCACCTTCTCAATTAATACATAGACCGACTGTTAACATGCTGGTTTTTTTTAAAAAAAAAAAAGATTCAACGCTTTGCTTTAGAAGTAAACTAACTGAATGTTTTTGGATTCTTTTCACATGATCTGACTAAACCCATTTGTTTCAGCTATGAGGTCTTGTTGACTTTGGACAAAAAGAAGCACAGTTTTGATGGTCCTATATACTATTATGTGTTCAATTCCCTTCTATTTTCACTACTTGTTCTCCACATATATTGGTGGGTTTTAATATATCGGATGCTTGTGAGACAAATCAGGACAAGAAATGTTGGAGATGATGTTCGATCTGGTAAGCCCTGTCCTGTCTGAAGTTTTGGTATGCTGCACGAGTGCATGATTTTTTTATTTTTTATTTTTGTAAAATGCTGTGCAAATTAGTTTTGTTTGCTTGTAGGTAAAACTTGGTTATAATTATGCTCTTCCAACTTGTGTTGAGGTGAAAAACTTTCTTTGATTTTACTTTGCCTTGCTTTCCATACAGATTCTGAAGGAGAAGACGACCATGAACATTGATTGGCGGCACCATCTTACCTTGTGTGTTACAACGGTGCTAGAAACATCACCCCCAATACCCTGAGCTTATACATTCTTTTTCTGGATTCCAAGATTTCGTGCAGATTACGAGATTCATCAAAGCCGGGCTATGGTTTCTTCTATCTGGACTGCCCATTTGTGTTGTAGTACTAAGTATGCATTAGAAACCGCGCTGCAATGCATTAGAAAAAAAAAAGCTGGATGTCGAATATAACATTCTTTTGAGTGTTCACGCAAAGTGCAGCAGTAAATGTAGCACCAATGTGGCATTCCAGAAAAAAGTACTGGTTGTAAACTAAAGCCTTTCTGTCGACATACCATGTACATTCTGATTATGTATGCCAGGATAGCATTGCTTGGAGTCTTGTAAACGGTAGCGCTGGCCGCTGGTGAAACATTTCCCTTATTAGGGCCTCGTTTAGATTGCAACTTTTTTCAACCCGATAAATAGTACCACTTTCGTCTTATTTGACAAATATTATCCAATCGTGGACCAACTAGGCTCAAAAGATTCATCTCGTGATTTCCAACTAAACTGATGTGATGGAGAGAGAGTAAAAAAACTTGGAATTTGGATGGTATCTAAACAAGGCCTAGAGCTTGTCTTGTTCCTCGGCCGCCTATCATGGCTCCTTATTCCCTCGGCCAGGTGCAGGTGCAGCCAGAGTGTTTGCAGTAAAGATGGGGATGGTGCAACTGTCGAGCCAACATGTGCGTACCGATCCATCGATCCATTGATGTACACAGGAACATTGGTTAGCCCATTTATTGTTAGCTGCTTTGCTTGCTCCGGCTGCTAACGTGGGCTGCCTGCTCGTGGTTGCTTCTTGCTTGTGTAAACACACATGCACTTAAAATTTGGAAACTGTCCCTCCTGAAGCATTGTATTTCACCATTCAGTGATTGGCCTGACGATAATATGATAAATTCATTTATCCAACACACCTGATGCCTATTTGCTGAAAACTGGTTCCAAGTTTACATATTTATCATGGGGGAGACCGAAGAAGTCTATTTTTGACTATCCAACTATTGAGTTTGGTTTTGGTCATGCAACTCTAAATCAGAAATGTTTAACCATTGAACTGTAATAACAAGCAAATTTTACCATCTAACTAATTTTCAAAGGTGGTTTTGTATTTTTCAAAAGTAATAAAAACTAACTTTTTTTGAAGCAAAAACTAGCTTTTTAAAAACATCGTAACTAATTTAAAGTGCATCTAGGCTCTCCATTGGGATTTGGTGGTTGAATGACAAAACAACTGATGCATTTCATGAGTCTTTGAACATGCTACATTTGCTAGTGATCATATCAAACTCATGTCATATCTTGAATGAAGAAGTAAGCATATTTGACAAGGCAAAATGAGACAAAGAGAAATGAATATCATTTGGTCTTAGTAGTGGCTTGCTTTGAGATATGGATAGTAAATTGGTATTGATAAAATGTTGAAGAATGAGTCAAGAATGCATAAATGAAGAAATGTCAAATGACAAATGAGACAATATATTGGATATATATGGTGGACTCAATATTGGTTTGCATGTATGGATAAAGACTTGAAAAATCACTATGCATTGGTATTGATCAAGTTGGAAGCATGAGGAAGGAAATTATCAAGCTAACCAAGGTGCAAAAGTAGAAAGAGACATGATCATATGCAAATAGAATGGTGTCGTTATGATGGCAAGCTCATATATGATAAAATACCATAGAATGGAATGAAGGTGAGCCAAGTCATGTACTCCCTCTGTCCTATAAGATAATACACTCTAAAATTTTTAAGGCAACATAAGGGAATACTCAAATGATGTAGGTTCCCATTGATTAAACCCAATAATAGAGTTTCTCAAATTATGGTTCCTTTTTTTAAAAAAAATTGCCAGATCTAAGCATAGACACTACATAGAATACATTATATTTTAGTACAAATTTTAGAAGTTATAGTGCACTCTATTCCAGGACGGAGAGGGTAATAATGATGGACAACATTTGGAAGATGACTTGGATATGGATAATGTTGATATGTGACTTCAAATGAATGCTTAATGTTGGTTCAAGATATGATGTGACTTGAGGATGGCCCGATAGGGTCAAGATAGCAAGGGATGGGCTTCGAGGGTGTAGGGGACCGTGACGCCTAAGAGGGGGGGTTGAATTAGGCAACTTAAAATTCTAACTCTAAACTATGGTCTCTTTTTCTAACCTTAGCAAAACCTATGCAAAAGATAAACTATCTAAATGTGCAACTACGATTTTGCTAGTGTGTTGCTATCTCTACCGTAAAAGGAGTAAAGTAATCAATATAAATGCGAAAGCTAAAGAGCAAGGTAGAGATATGCAAACTCCCGTCGATGACTCCGGTATTTTTACCGAGGTATCGAGAAGCGCTCAAGCTTCCCCCTAGTCCTCGTTGGAGCCCCTCACAAGGAATCCCTCGCAAGGGCTAATCTCCTGGTCGGGTAACTCCGTGGATAGCCTCGGGCCTTCCCCACGCACAAGTGGGTCTTCGACGTGCCTTCCGACAAGCCTCTCCCGGATGCTCCCCGCCGTCTTCACTATCAAGCTTCCGGCCAAAATGCCGCGGGCCTTGTTCCCTCCGGTACACGGTGGCGGCCACACCACAACCGTGGTTGGTGTGATCTCGCAAGACTACAAGCCCCTCCGATGTACAACGATGGTGCGCGCAAGCATCGAGTGGTAAGAGGTATACAAACCTCACTAAACACTAGGCCTAAACCTAGAGCAAGCGCATAAACGGTGGTCTAATCAACCTAAGCACTTCGCAAAGCACCTACGCTAATCACCTTATGAATCACTAAGCACTATGCAAGTGGAGATCACTAAAATGGTATATCAACACCCTTGATATGTTTCCTTAGCTCCACACACCTCAAATGGCCGGTTGGGGGTCTATTTATAAGCCCCACCAAGAAAGTAGCCGTTGGGGACGAAATCCTGCTTTTCTGCTACTGACCGGACTCTGACCAGCGTCCGGTCAGCACTGACCGGACGCGTCCGGTCACGAAAACTGCTCTCTGGAACTTTACTGATGTTTATCGGCCTCTGGCACTCAGCGTCCGGTCACTTTGCTGCTCAGCGTCCGGTCGCTGCTGCTGACGCCTGCTGTTGCCGAGCCTCTTGATCGGAGCGTCCGATCACTTTCCACCAGCGTCCGGTCCAGCGTCTGGTCCAGCGTTCGGTCACCTCTGTGAGCTCATTTCTTCGCGATCTTGCATACGGCTTGGTTCCTATCTTCGTGCTTGGACTTTGCTTGATATCTTGGGTCTTCTCTTGTGCTCCTAGGGTCTTGCTTATGGTGTTGATTATCAGATCATCACGTCGCATTCGTCCAAGTCACGTCTTGCATCCTATTGAACTACAAAACAATCACTTGCAAATTCATTAGTCCAATTTGGTTGTGTTGGTCATCAAACACCAAAATCCAAAGTAAATGGGTCTATGGTCCATTTTTCTTACAATCTCCCCCTTTTTGGTGATTGATGACAACACGACCAAAGCAAGCAAATAATAAAAATTTAGAATTTTAAAAACTCTACTTGCTAGGATGCAATACAAGGGACAAGGTTATATGATGCTAAAAGATACTACTTGTAAGACTAGAAGATACCACTTGAAAACTTATCTTGCCCTTGAAAAAATCCCCATGTGATATTATGGATTTAAGCCTTGCTTCCTATAAATTAATGTTTGCTTTTGGTCCTTTAAATTCTCCCCCTTTGGAATCAAGCATCGAAAAGGAAGACATTAGTAGCACAAGGGAGGGTCAGACTTTGTGATCCTTTATATGTAGAGTGGAATAGGTCACAAAATTTGGCTCTCACATTATATAGACTAAGCCCCCCTAAATATATGCATACATATGGTAGAAGGCAAAGCATATGCATAATTGATAAATTATTGCTCAAGGGAATTTAATCTATATAATGCATGGAGAAAGCATATAAATATCAAAATGAAATCAACATGATGATATCGGTTTAGAAATACCATATGTGGAGATCAATTTGATTTCTATCACTTGCAATTGGTGGTGGA